TAAAAAAAAAAAAAAAAAAAAAGAGAAATCACAGCCAGGATAAAGGTGACAGCACATGCACAACCTGTGTTGTCATCCTCTTAAGATCAACCCTCTCAAATTTCATAGGTAATGAATTTTTTAGATGAGATTAGACACTACTTTCTACCATTGGCTAATGAATGCCCACAACACCCTTGGTTAGCCAGAGAGTTCACTTCCCCTTTATATAAAAAGACACATAAAGTTTTATGTGATTACTTCAGTTCAAAAACACCTTGTGAGGCTTAACAGAAACCAGAAGAAGAGGGCGGAGGGTTGGGGGCGGGGGGGAAGATAAGAACTTGTAGTTGGAAGATGAACTAAAATCTTTTTTACTTGGTAAGCTGCAAGCTCACAGGGCCATGCTGTCCTTTCAGCCACTGATGGCATCGTGAAAGGAGAAGGGAGATTCATTCCTTACGTGACATGAGGCATTGGTGAAGCTCAGGAGATTGGACAACCTGAGTTAGTAAGTAAAGCAGGAAATAAGATGTGAAGTATTACAAAGTCAATTTGTACGTACTAACTCTGCACATCTTCCTTTAAGTAGGCTGGTAATCATAAGCAGTGCAAGAAAGTGAATTGTTTCATCGTTACATGAAACTAGCCAGAGAGCTATGCTTTAAGTCTGAATTCTTTCTTGATCAAAGAAATATAGCAAAGATAAACACAGAGAAGTGTATGCTTACGTGGTGATAGAGAGACTGTTCATGCACTTCGTTTCTCTAATGGCAAAGGTGTGAAATTACAGCTACTTTACAACTCATTTAGGAATGCACGTGGATAATCACAGTACTCCTGCAGATCGTGTTCAGAACAAGTGACTTTTGGACAAAAGAGGCTGTACTGGCACACCGAGAAGCGTGACCAGGTCCCAGACAAAGTCCCTCTTGTGTCAGGGACTCCACAGAGCTGTAAAATGGAAATAAACCTGCCCACTCCTAGCTGCAGACAACCAGGAACATGGACATAGGCAGGATTTCCCAGGTAGGTCCCAAATCCCATGTGTTCTGCAAGTGTTGCAGCTGTAGCTAGACATAATTTTACTGATGGCAGCCAGTTCTCAAAGCTGACCCGCACCCTAAGCACCTCTGACACTCACTCTGCCGGCTGGTATGTCTGACAGGTGAGAGGTTCTCCCACCACACGGACCAGAGCAGAGAGGTCTCATGTGTCAAGACTTTGGAAAGTGGGCAAGCCAGACACAGGTCACTGGCATCTCTCCCCACCTCCTGAAATCGCCTGTTTGCCACTGAAAGTTGCACCCTGGGAATTTTCTCCTGACCAGCTCGCACTCAGATGCTGAATAAGGCAAACCAGGAGGAGAGAAGGAAACTGAAATTTCATTCACGTTCCTCCTATCTCTGCCTCAGAGACAACCTGCAGGTGATCCCCCTTTCAGGTCTATCCATCCAACTTCCATGGGGCTGGTCCTCTGCCATGAGACAACACCTAGCCCTGTGTGGCACCCTACAGCCACTGACCAGCTGCACAATGTGAGGTTTAATCAGAGGCCACAAGGGAAAAAAAAGAGAGTGAAGAGGACACATTGCCACACTGTTTTTCCAGCTTCCAGCACAAAGAGACCATAAAAAAAAGACTGTTCTGAGTCAGATTAAAAGTTCACCTCAGTCCATCTTCAAACACAGCTCGCTCTCAGATGCTGAATGAGACCAATCAGGGCTCATGGTGAATGTCACGCATTTAACTCTAATGCCACTACCACTGAGCAGCTATGGGGCATGGGGCACCCAAGCAGGGCCACCAAAAAGTGGGCACATGGAAGAATCACTGCTTCTCAGGGTGCTGCAGAATAGTTAGTGGTGAGCTCCAGGCACATGGTCTGATGGCAGATATCATCCTGTCTCAACACTTCAGCCACATACCCTCACCCTTCCCACACATCCCACTTGGGGCGCAGGCTCAGGTTATGCCTGGTGAAGGCATCAACTCCATTGCTGTAGGTCCCAGCACCATCTACCACCTGCCTGCCATCCCACCTTGGTGCTTTGCTGTTGCCTCACTGCCAGCTGAGACAAACAAGAACATAAGCATCCCAGTTGTCTAGGTCAAGCATACCAATCACATACAGTTTCTCTGACATAGCACTCCAACTATGGCCCATGATGACAGAAGAAAAAGAAGAGTCCATATATGGAATGACTGCTAGAAACTACACAAATTATATTTAGCACCACTGCGTGCGGGGTGAAATGTTTTGCATTTGCTTTGAAAAAAAAAAACAACACAAACTTATTATTACAGAGCTATTCAGATGTATGGGTTCAATCACGCTGGCACATGAACAGAACTTAATTGAAGGACCATATCAAGGACAGCAAGCACAGCGCCTGTATGTGCTCTGGCCAGTTTCTCTAGACTCAGAGGAAAATCTGTTCCTGGGAGTTTCTGGGAGACAACAGTAGGAGAAGTCAAGTTAGGATCCAAGCTGCCACAGGTTGCTGCAGGCCAACTGTGTTTTTTGTTTTTTTCTTTCATCTCTAATATAACTTAGAAGACTCAGATGAATTTCAGCCCCCAATCAGTTTCACCTGGGCCTTGCTCAGAGGCTGCTGTCATGTAGCTCTGCCACCAGAGCTCCCAGCTCACTGTCCTTGGCCTAGACTGCTCTTGAAGGAACAGCCAAAATTGTCTCCAACAGAGATTCTCAGCTCCTGCCAACCAGGATATCTCTGAAGCCACCCACTCACTCCTGAAATACCAGACTAACTAGTTCATCTTTTCCTGTTTCTTCTTGCTTTGCCTTGCCTCATTTTGGTGAGGGAAAAGCCATATGGCAAAATCCCAACTTGGAAGATGAACTTGGGAAATTTCACTGATGTTGCCAGCTTCAAACTAACCATGTAAACTTTATTTTAAAAGTCAAAGAGATTTTATATGTTAACATTTTCTTGCCGG